CTCATCACTGTGGGCATTTGAAGACTGGATGGTTCTGTTGTGTGGCTGTCCTACATTTTTTTAGGACATTCAGCCACTCAGCTATTAGCATACTCAACTCTAAGCCACCAGGCATGCCAAATGTCCCAAAGGAGACGCAATTCCCTCCACCTCTGAAAGCAGCGCACGAAGTTGGCTCTTCTGCATACTAGAAAAGGGGACCTATCCTTGCTCCTGTAGCCAGGTGGCTCTGCTGTTAGGGTGACGTGAAGCTGTGCTGAACACAGGGCAGGTGTTTCTGCCACACACACGTACCCTTCAGTGCCCTCCCTTGCCATGAAAATTCTATCTCACAAATGGCTTTCTATTTGTGCAGGATAGTACACACACACAGAGACAGAGACAGAGAGAGAGAGGAGAGAGAGAGAGAGAGAGAGAGAGAGAGAGAGAGAGAGAGAGAGAGAGAGAGAGAGAGAGAGAGAAGAATGCACCCTTTGCATCCACACACCAAACAAGGTCCTGCCTGGGGTCAACTTCTGTGTGGTTGCCTGGGAACAGGAGCAGATTAGATACACACTCCTTCAAGCCCTAGTTTTGTTGTTGTTGCTGTTGTTTGTCCTATTGTCTCCCTCCCCCCATTTTTTCTTTCTTTCTTTTTTTTTAAATATTTATTTATTATGTATACAATATTCTGTCTGTGTGTATGACTGCAGGCCAGAAGAGGGCACCAGACCTCATTACAGATGGTTGTGAGCCACCATGTGGTTGCTGGGAATTGAACTCAGGACCTTTGGAAGAGCAGGCAATGCTCTTAACCTCTGAGCCATCTCTCCAGCCCTGAGCCATCTCTCCAGCCCCCATTTTTTCTTTCATCACCCCAACCTGTCTCCTTTCTCTTCTCCCTCATTCCTCCCTCCCCCTCTCAGAATGGGAGTCTGCGCTCAGGAAAGACTGTTTTAGTGAGCGGGAATGTGGAAGAGGATGCCTGCTCCCGAGTTTCGAGAGAATGTACATAAACACATGGCACTTGCTGTTTAAAAAATTCAATGTTTTATTATTGTGTGCGCACGTGTGTGGGGAGCTATGAGGGGAGGTATGGAGTCTGTTCTCTCCTTGCACCTTTAGTGGGTTCTGGGGACCAGACTCAGGTCATCAGGTTTGCACAGCAAGTGCCTTTACCTGTGAAGTCAGCCCACTGGCCTATGGAAGGAATTTAGAGCGTCTGTCCCCACTGGTGTTCCTTGATTCTGCTATCAGCTCCACTGGGTAACTTCTTCTCACACTGGCAGGGAGAGATGAGTGAGTCCTGGATGGAGCTGTCATGACCTGGCTGTGCAGGTTCACATCCTTCCATGGTCGGTCGGGGAAACCCCTGGGCTTGTTTTCCTGGCCTGTTGACTCATTATCTCGGCCTGACATTTCCGCAAGACACTGGCATAGAACCGTCCCAGCTCTAGGCTTTCGATTCCTAGCTTTTCTCATCTCTCAGCCTTTGAGAAAGCAGAAAAATTGACAACTGTGTGAAGGAGCCAAGGTTCAGAGGGGCCGGGCTGCTTGGCTTGGGGCTTGCATCTGTGATCAGCTGGCTTGAAAGCTAAGTTCCTGAGCCAGGCAGGGTTAGGCACAGACAGCAGAGGCCTCTGCCTCTGTAATGTGCACGACAAAGCCTCTTTGGCAGTCTTGGCCACATCTACCGAGAGAGCAAAGAGCATTCCCGGCAATGAGGTTGACCACATTCTAGGCTCTTGGCACTCTTAGGAATACATCATCAGGTCAAAGGCCCCAGAGGACCCTTGCAGAGGGACTTGAGCCATATCCAAGTAGATTGTAGTCTACTCAGAAAGAAAAGGAAGAAGAGGCTGACTGACATCCACTCTGTCTTTAGCGACACAGAGATGGCGACTCAGGGTGTCACACTGGGCTCTGCCACAAGACAAGGAGCATGTGCATTGGCCTGTGTGCCACCTTGTTCAGGTGACCAGGCCACCTGCTGGAACCAGAAGTCTGTGATGCTTCTTCAGTCTTTTTTGAGCTGGGACAGATGAGGTCAAACTTATAGGAGGCATTGTAGAACCGGCTTCAAATCTAGTTGCTATGGTGTAGCAAACCCTAGCAGTTAAAAACAGATCTGAAGGTGGTGGCGCACGTCTTTAATCCCAGCACTTGGGAGGCAGAGGCAGGAGGATCTCTGTGAGTTCGGCGACAGCCTGGTCTACAGAGAGAGTTTCAGAACAGTAAGGGCAACACAGAGAAACCTTATCTTGAAAAAACAAAATTAAAATAAAATGAAAAACAGATCTAAGGCTGGAGAGATGGCTCAGCAGTTAAGAGCATACACTGCCTGCCTTTTTTTTTTTTGGTCTTTTGAGTTTCCCTGTGTAACAGTCCCAGCTGTTGCTGTCCTGGAACTAGCTATTGTAGACCAGGCTGGGCAACTCACAACTTCCTGCAACTCCAGGGTGAGGGGATCTGGTGACCTCTTCTGGCCTCTGTTGGCACTGCACTCAGGTTCACAGATAACACATAGAGACACAAAATGAAAAGCAAAAAAAAAAAAATGAGTTTTTTAGAATTTCATGTATGAGTCTATATATCATGTTACCCCTCCTTTTTCTATTTCCAGCTCCTCTAGTGTTTCCCCATTCCCTTCCAAATTTGAGGCCTCTTATTCTTTAATCATTACTATTATTACATATATGCACACATGTAAATTTACAAATACAGCTTTAAGAGTCCCTTTAGTGTTGCTCACATGTGCATGTGTTTAAGGCTAATCATTTGGGACTGGATGACAATCAGGGGCTCATCCCTGGAGAAGGTGGAGCTTTCCGTTCTCAGCAGGTATTAATAGTCGGTAGCTTTTCTTCTAGCAGCGAGGTTTTGTAATACTTCCTCATTAATGTTGGCATGCCAACTGGTGTTGTCATTTTTCAGATCTTTTAGGCAGTCACATTTTTGAGATTTCATGGATGCGACCTCCCTGGAGTATATAGCAGACACTGCCTTGACACAGACGTCCTGGTTCTTTGGGGCTTACGACCTCTCCGTTGCCTCTTCTTTGATGTTTCTGAGCTTTAGTTGAAGGGGTTGAAAAAACAAAATCTTTAAAAACAAAACAAGTGAACCAAACAAAAACAAACTAACCCCAACAATCTCTGATTTGTGTAGGGGTGTCTGTGTCTAGGGAAAAGAGACAGTCCAGCAAGGGATGCATACCATCAAAGAGCTTCCCAATGGCAGAAAAAAAGATCCCAGACTATAAGACCAATTTTTGACATTTAATGACCTCTACTGACTTTGAAAAAATAACTCTTCTACTCAGATGTGATATTACTGCCTACGGTTGTTTTAATTCCTACGGGCAGATGGGTTGTGCTACACACTCTGTGCTGGCCAGTCTGGTCTAAGGTGGGAAGTGTCTTCTTGAGCAGGGAGTGCAGTCCAGAAGGGAGAGGACATCGAAATGGGACCAGGACAGAGGATGCCAGCGGCAGGCAGGACAGGAGGGCGTTGATCTATATGGGAAGTAAAGGGGACGTGGAGCCTCTGCTAAGTGAAAAAAGTCTCCCAAAGCAGGGCACAGTGACAGCGTGGGATTTCTAGGTGGGTTGTTTGCACACAGGTGAGTGACAGGAGCCTGGGTACCCTGCTGTCGTGGAAGGGAGTTATAAACATGGAGACACCCAACTCTTGGGTGGACTTGGGAGATGTTGGTATAGATGCATATGTTCATGTTTGCACATACACATTTTATAGATATGACTGTAAGTCCATGTATGCAATTGTAAATACAGGCATATATGTATTTAAAATAATGACAAAGAATCAGAAGCAATTGATCAAGGTTAGAAGATTAGTTGAAAACAAATACATTTTAGAGAATACCGTGATAAGGAAAAAATAATATATCAAATGAGAAATACATGATACCAATCCTTATCTTAAGTTGATCCCAATTCTTTAAAATGTGTTTGAGACATTGAAAAGAAAGATAAAGGACTATTCCAAGTGTTAAATAGGGTTAATTTTCAGTATTGGTCTTACATGTGAAATTTCCAAATATTCTTCTTTGAGAACCTATCGTTTTATAATTGGAATAAAAGGTGACATAAATTAAAATCTCCCCATTTTGTATCACAGCTAAATAGTTTAAGTAGGATGGCATTTGGGGGGCCCTTTTACTCAGGTGGACGTGGTTTGATCTGTTCCCGGGGGCCGCTCTGCTTCTTGATGACCTCCCAGAACTCTCTTTGTCAACCAGGCTGACCTCCAACTCGTAGCAATCCCCTTGTCTCTGTGATTACAAACAAGAGCGTCACCATAGACTTTAACGTGGAGAGGGCACAGGAATCCTGGACCCACCACAGACAAGGTCATAATTTGAAATCAACCTTAGGTCTTTGAGGGAAAACAGTTCTCTCCGTCAGGGAACATGGTGCCTTCAAGTCCTCAAACAGGTTAGTGACAAGCTAAAGTGGAAAGCAGAATGTAAGAAGACTCCTGCCATAGTGAGACCTGCAGCTGGGTGAGGGCAAGGTCAGGGCTTCTGACAGGCACGGCTCTGCCCTAGTTGTGAGTGTTGGTCCACCTCCCAGTCTCTCCGGCTTCTGTTTGTCTGTGAAGTGAGAGGCTTGGTTAAACCAGTAGTCTCCAGACTTTCTTCTCTGGTGAGTGAGAAACAGGCTCGGCTTTTGATGGGTGGTCAGGAGACCTGGCCAGTTCTCCAATGAGGACCCTTAAGCATTTTCAGACACCCCTGTGTTACTGCCCAGGGAACAATAGCCTCCATGAAGCACTTGTGGGTGGCAGAGCCACAGTGGGGTTGTGACTTGCAGGGGCTCCAAGCTTAGTATTAATCCTCAATTTTCTTCCCTGTTGAATGGTGCAATGACAGCTTCCTTTCCAGCCTCCCACACGGGTGATGAGGTCCCATAGTTAGGCAGCGAGGAAGGGTTCTTTGGAGGCTAGCACCTGCATGCTGATGCTCCAGTAAGCTTCATTCTCCCTAGGAGGTGCTTCCGTGAGGAGCAGCGAGGAGGGAAGGATGCTCTGTGATGCTCCTGACCAATGATGCCACTGCCTGCTCCAGTCCTCTCGCGCGTTCCCAACTGAGGTGCTCTACACTAAGGCCCGCTAGGATGAGCTGTCCTTCAACTCAGACTGTCCCTGCCAGGTAACACACAGCCTGCGACTACAGTTACTCTATAACAAGATGATTTGCATGTCTGGACCAAAAGCCCGCAGTCCTAGAACCGGGTCTACCTGGAGACAGGCAGGTGTGGCCCCCATCAGGGAGCTCAAGCGCGGGATGTCTGTGGCGGCTGGGAAAGCATCCCCCGTGACTAGAATAATTCCAAGTTAGGTTGTTTGGTCATAAGCAGCAACGGAGGCTCTACTCCCCACACTCAAATATCCCAGCTCCTCCTAGCAGATGTGCAAAAGATATGACAGCCAGGAGCCTTGAGGAGGATGGGGATACAGGGCCAGCTGGTTTCCCAGGCCTCCCAAACTGACACTGGATAGTTGGAAATTCCTGATGATCGTGTAACATTGGGGGTGTGATTCTTGAAATATTTTTAGCAATGTGTTTAAAGTAAAAATCTCAATATAACAAAAACAATGGAAGGATCATATTTGTTGTTTTTAATAAGAATTTAGTTTTTGTAATTTAACTAGTTGCATTAAAACCCCATGATCAAAATCAGTGATTCAAGAGTTTTGCTCTGACCCTGAGAAAACCATGTCCACTCATTGGGATGCCCTGGACTGAAGTGAACACATTTTCTCCGGGAAGATCACAGAGATCCATCTGCTTCTGCCTCCCAAGTGCTGGGATTGCAGGTGTGTGCCACCACCATGTGCAGCTGGCCAAAACTATTCTTTCTGTAGTGCTGGGCTTGAGACAGGATCTTACTATATTGTCCTGGCTAGCCTGGAGCTCACTATGTAGACCAGGCTAGCCTTGAATTTGTAAGATCTTCCTGATTCAGCTCCCTGACTGATTACAGGTATAAGCTATCCTGTCAGCTAGCAGGGACACCTGACTGCTAGGATTACAGATATAAGCCACCGTGTCCAGCTAGCAGGGACATTCTGTATGTCCTGCCTTCATGTATGCCCTTGTCCACAGCGTTCCCTTTTCTTAAAATGCCTTTCTTCCCCTTCTTCAGCAAACGAACTCCTACTGTCCCTTCAAGACCCGGTGATGTAAGGCCTCCCTTAAAACCGTATAAAGCTACGTCTTGCTGTGTGCTCGCCTGGTTTCTGGCATGCTCTCCTTCATTCCACTTACCAAATTAAATTAGATTCCGTTCTTTCCCCCCAGCAAAACTACGTAGAGGTTCTTATTTTTAACAGTCTGTAAAACAACTTGCAATTAAACCTTGAAAGGATGGAGAAAGCTTGTTCCGTCATCACGAAGATAGATCTCTAACTGTAGAATTGAAGGTCAGTTTGATTTTAAAAAGACAGATCCAAGTGGGCCTAAAGTGTTCCCACAGCCTTCTCAACTGTTTTCTGTGAATGTAGTTTGAAGCTGTTGGGGGAGGGGAGGACAGCTGAGTGGAAATAAAACCTGGATCATAAACGGAAAGTGTGGGGCCTGGCCTGGCGTCTCGAGTATGGAGGAACAGGCTGTGGATCTGGGGCTCAGTGAGGAAATAGGAAGGGAGGCAGCACAGTGATGAGCACCCTTCACCCCAGGACCACAGTCAGACACCCCGTTCCTCAGGTGAGAAGCCAAGAGCTGATTGCCTTCAAGGTCTAGAGGGTCCTGGTGTGTGAGCCTTGTCTCAGACAGCAAGCCATCCCTGCCACTTTCCCTGAGAACCTAGCTTATGTCTGGTTCATACATTGCCAGCATTTGGTTTTGCTCCTAAGAACCTTGACTACGTTTTGTGACAGTTGAAAGTCTGAGCTGTCCCTACAGGGTGGCCACTGGTCACCCACTCCTTCTGAGCACAGGAAATGCGGCTCAGCTGCTAAGGTACACACACACATGTGGGAGACACATCCTTTTCTTTTTTCATTTTTTGTTTTCATATCAGTTATATGATGAAATGCTATTTTGAACTCATTGGGCTAAATAAAATAGATCATCAGAATAAATTTCACTGGTTTATTTTTGCTTCTTTTAAGAACATTTATTTTATTTAATTTTATTCTAATGAGTGTTTTGCCTGCATATGTGTATGTGTGTGCACCACCTGCATGCCTGGTATCTGCAGAGGTCAGAAGAGGGCATCAGATCCCCCGTTTGGATGCTTGTAAGCCACATGTGGGTACTGGGTGCTGAACCTGGGTCCTCCCTTTATTGAGGGGGTGGGAGGAAAAAGGGTTTACTTCACTCAGTTTTTTAAAACATAGTTTCTTTATTGATTCTTTGGAAATTTCACATCATGAACCCTGATACTGCTTACCTCCCGGTCCTTCAACATCCTTCCCTCACCCCTGCAGTAACCCCTCAAAGAAAATATCTTTAAAAAAAATCAAACCAAAACAAAACATAGCAAGCAAGTAAGCAAACAAACAAAAACAAGAATAAAAACAAAAATCTTCTTGGCCTCTCCATCTTTCCCTCCTCTCCATACCTCTATTTGTCCTGGTGGCACTGGGGGTGGCATGTCACACAGTACACCCTTTGTCAATCAGCTTCACTAGCAAGTTCATTGCAATGAGTCGCTGGTCCGTTCAAGGCCTCTGGTTTCTGGCACACCATCATCACTGGGCCCTCACTGGAACTCCTCTGGGATATCCTGTGGCTACTCTGAGTCATGAAGATCCTGTGGGCATCATTCCACAGGTCCAGCAGGTCCTAGACAGGTGGATGTTAGGGTGGGCCAACCCAACATCCCAACATAGGCTGTGGGCCGGGCCTGGGTGGGAGCTGAGCCACTGGGGCTTCTCACCTCAGTCAGGAGGACAGAGTCAGCTCCCCCGTGCCCATGCCATCAGGGTAGGTTCTCCCTCACCTGTGGTGGGGCCATCTCTCCCAAGTTCAGGGGTTCAACTCTCTTGCCGCAGTGTCCAGCCAGAGGCAGGATCAGCTTTCCCGGGGCCACTGAAGGGTGGGGCTGACTCAGCATGGGCCTCTGATTTCATCATGCACAATTCCTAAGGCCCCCTTAGGGTCACACAGTCCACAGATACCAACACAGACCCCAGCTCCAACTGGACTATAGACCCAGGCATGGCCCTCGGCAGCAGCTCAGGTACAGATGACATCCTGGCTCTAGGTAGGAGCACTGACCATTCAGATCAGGCATGGCCCCTAGACACCAATAAGGCCACGAGTTGTAGCCCCCAATCTGGGTTTCTGTGTGACTTTGGTGGCACCATGGGCCTTGGACAACATAGACCCCAGCCTCAGTAGGACCCCAGACCCAGACATGGTCCTCAGCTGTAGCTCTGGTCTAGAGGTTACCATGGCATTGGGTAGCAGCAGAGGTCACTCAAATCTGTATGGCCCCAGCTGCAGCATGGCCCCTAGACTCCAACAGGGCCATAGGTTGTGGCCCAGACTGGATTCTCTGTAAGAGTAATATATTCTTGACCACTGAGCCATCTCTCTCTCCCCTATTTATTTATTTTTATTTTGTGTGTATGAGTGGTTTATTTACTTCTTTTTTTTTTTGCCTGAATGTATATTTGTGTACCATATGTCCGAAGTCCTTAGATGAGGGTGTTGGGTCCCTTGGAGTTATAGGTTGTTCAGGAACCTGGATCCTCTGCAAGAGCAGCAAGGCCTCTTAGCCACTGAGCCTTCTCTCTAGCCTCTGAACTTTCTAGCCACATGTTATGGCTATGATTCATAGCTGAGTGTCTCTCTTCTGTTTTATCTTATTTCTGTGTGTGTGCGTGAATGTGTGTGTGTGTTCATGGGTGTATAGGTACACATGCATGTAGATGGGTATATGTGTGGAGGCCAGAAGTCAACCCAGAACATTGTTCCTAAGGTTCCATGCACTTTTTTTTTTTTTTTTTTTTTTAAAAATAGGATCACTCACTGGCCTGAAACTTGCCACTTTGGCTCGGCTGGATGGCCAGCAAGCTCTAGGAATTCACCCATCTCTGCCTCCCCAGTTAGTTCTGAGATTACAAATGTGTTCTGCCACATCTTTTTAAAATGTGTCTGTTCTATGTCTATGTGTTTTATCTGGATGTGTTATGTGCATCACATTCATGCAGTGCCTATAGAAGCCAGAAGAGGGCATCGGATCCACCACAACTGGAGTTACAGATTGGGAGCCTCCATCTGGGTGCTGGGAACTGAACCCAGGTCTCCCGCAAGAGAAGCAAGTGCTCTTAACCACTGAATCATTGCTCCAGGCCCCACACCTAGGTGCCTTTGGTTTGTTTTTAAATGTGAGTCTAGGGGATCCAACTTAGTTCCTTGTGCTTGCAAAGCAAACACTTTCCTAACTGAGCCACCCCCCTCTACGCCAGCTGTCTCTTCTATTTTAATTCTCCAGTTTTCATAGTTTTTGTTTGTTTGGCTTATTTACAGAAAGTTACCTGAAGCGGCGCAGCCCAAAGCCTCTTCATGGACCCATCAAATATGACATCCCTTGCTGAGGAGAAAGCCATGAACACCTCCAGCAGGAACGCCTCCCTGGGGAGCGCGCACCCTCCCATTCCCATAGTGCACTGGGTCATCATGAGCATCTCCCCTCTGGGCTTTGTGGAGAACGGGATCCTCCTCTGGTTCCTCTGCTTCCGGATGAGGAGGAATCCCTTCACGGTCTATATCACCCACTTGTCCATTGCGGACATCTCGCTCCTCTTCTGTATTTTCATCCTGTCCATTGACTATGCGCTGGACTACGAGCTCTCTTCTGGTCACTACTACACAATTGTCACATTGTCGGTGACGTTTCTATTTGGCTACAACACGGGCCTCTACCTGCTGACGGCCATCAGTGTGGAAAGATGCCTATCGGTCCTCTACCCAATCTGGTACAGATGCCACCGCCCCAAGCACCAGTCGGCCTTCGTCTGTGCCCTCCTGTGGGCACTTTCGTGCTTGGTGACCACCATGGAGTATGTCATGTGCATCGACAGCGAGGAAGAGAGTCACTCTCGGAGCGACTGCCGGGCGGTCATCATCTTTATCGCCATCCTCAGCTTCCTGGTCTTCACCCCGCTCATGCTGGTGTCCAGCGCCATCTTGGTGGTGAAGATCCGGAAGAACACATGGGCCTCCCACTCTTCGAAACTGTACATCGTCATCATGACCACCATCATCATCTTCCTCATCTTCGCCATGCCCATGCGGGTGCTCTACCTGCTGTACTACGAGTACTGGTCTGCCTTCGGGAACCTGCACAACATCTCCCTGCTCTTCTCCACCATCAACAGCAGTGCCAACCCCTTCATCTACTTTTTTGTGGGCAGCAGCAAGAAGAAGCGCTTCAGGGAGTCCTTAAAAGTGGTTCTGACCAGGGCTTTCAAAGATGAAATGCAGCCCAGACGCCAGGAGGGCAACGGCAACACCATCTCCATCGAGACCGTGGTCTGAGGACTGCAGCAGGGAACTGTGGGCAGAAACAGTGGAATGCGGGTGGCTTTTGATGTGTGCTTTGAGGTTTAAATCTTCAAAGTATGCTACAGAAGGGAAGCATTCCACGTGCATGGGGGTCTAATGATGAGCTTGCGTTCTTATCTCGTGTTGTCTGGAAATGTTTCCGTATGTGACGGGGCTCTGTCTTCTTCCATCCTTATCAAAGACTTATCTGTCTTTTAGCTCTTTGGTAGTGATCAATAGTTAACTACAAAAACTGCTCTAGCAGGAGGCATCCCAAATGGGACCTGGAGAACCTAGAGAAGCCATGCAACTACTGCTGTTTGCTCCACGTGACCTCAGGCGAGAGACTCTGGGGAGCCTCATTTCCTCCCTTAGTGGAAGTGGTAACAGTCTGTACTGTGTGGGCTATTGCTGAGTATGGCAAGGTAGGCAAAGCACCTGCTCATATTCAAAGTTCAATAAAATCCATCTCTCTACATCCTTTAACTAGAACACAATACTGCCTTGTGCTTTTAAATGTTGAACAGAGATTCCCAAAGGTCTCCTGGCTTGCAGCATGGCAGCTTTTCATGGTATAACACCAGGGATTGTCACAATCTAGGCAGTCACATATTTGGGACATCATTCTGGAAACAAACATTTTCCCCTCTTGGAAGACTTTCCCATGGCATCCTGTTCCTTGGGGAATACTCCACAGAATGGAAATCTATGTCTTGAAAATTTTTCGCTGTGTATATGATTTCACAAATGCAACTTAACTCGGGATGTTGAGAACTGTTGTGATCTTAAAGATCTGTTTGTTCCCCCAAAGTGATGGGTTATTTATAGTTATGAAGTTCTTGCCCTCAGCCTCGTATGTGTCTCTACACCTGATACCTTTCTTCCAAGTCTCTCTGTGTGTGCATGTGTGTGCGTGTGCATGCAGCTCACGTACATGTGAATGTGTGTGGCTGAACGTGTGGTGAGTGTGAGTGCATGTATGTGTGTGTGCATATAGAAGCCCAAGTCTGAACAGGGAGTGCCTCCATTGCTTTCCACCTTCTTCATTGAGTCAGGCACTCTCGGTCGAATCCAGAGCCACCCCTGGGCCAGTCTAACACACTAACTTCCCTTGAGAATCCTTGTTTTCACCTTCTACACCTTGGCCTTACGGACAGGCTACCACGCCCACTCGGCATTTGTGTGCTTACTGGGAAATCCAAATTCTGGTCCTCACGCTTGTATGGTAAGTGTTTTGCCCAAGCCTCCTGGTCTTTGTGTTTCATCCTTCTGAGAAGGAGGCTTACTGTGGGAGCTAAAAGGAACTTGGATGCTTTCCCCCAAGACTGACTGCTGCAAGATCCACTGGGCCTCTTCAAGCTCTGTCTCCTGTCTGCTCTGAGTTGCCATCCCTAGACCACACACTGGATTTTAACTGAATGCTGTCTTAGCCTATAGACCAATACACTGGGAAACCAACTTCCCGCCCGCCCTTCTGGGAGTCTCACTGAGGCAGCAGTGCTTGCTGGGTTCTTCACACAGGCAAATGTTCAGTGAGTGGACCGTTGGTTTACACTGTTTGTCCTCTGCAGGTCTGGATGACCTCTGAAGGAATGAGTCTTCCCTGTTGTCCTCTCTCCTCTCTGACCCGGAAGTAATAATGCTAGTCCCATGGAGCCGCTTTGCTGGAGAAAGGTGTGAGTCTCCTATGAGCTGAGCCCTGCTGCTAGCCAACTTGGATGGAGGAGACTTTTCAGTGGGTGATAACATCTGACTCAGAAGCAAGGCAGCTTGTGTTTGGGAGTCCAGATGGGGCGCAGAGCGGTGACATTTAGAACAGTCTTGTTTGCCATTGGAAGCCGAGTTTCTGTACTCGGGAGGAGTGGAATGTACCAACCAGAGTGGGCCCCTTCTGATTCTGCTGTCTCCGGGATGTCATGTACAGTCTCATCACATCCCAATAGGGTTTCTGTTCCCCCAGAACTATGACAAATACCCGAGACAAGCCAGTTTATAGGAAGGGTTTATATTGGCTGTCACTTCAGAATTTCAGTCCGCAATCACGTGACCCTGTTCCATTGAGTCTGTAGTGGCAAAAGACATCACGGCCAGAGCACGCGCGGTAGAGAGGGGCTGCTCGCCAGCGTCCCAATATCCACTTCCAGGGCATGCCCCCAATGCCCTGCCTTCCTTCCACTAAGCCCCACCCACTAAAGGTGAGGATTTAAAGTGCCAGCCTCTCCCAATGCATTTACACATTCATGATGAAGCCTTTACACATGGGGCTTTGTGGACACCGTCAAGCCCGTCAAGCCACGCAGATCCCAGGGAAAACTCCGAGCAGAAGCCCTGATTACTGCTTTTTGACAGATGAGGTAAGGAAACTGAATGAACTAATGTGGTTGAACATTCCCCTACTTTCCCAACAAGCAATTTCTTGTAAAAAAGTAGGATTTGGAGTTCTCTATTTTTAATGACAAATTTCTCTCTTATCCCTAAAATCTATTCTCATAGTGAACTAAAGATTAAAACTAGCCCCAGACTGGGCTGGAGAGATGGCTCAGAGGTTAAGAGCACTGACTGCTGTTCCAGAGGTCCTGAGTTCAATTCCCAGCAACCACATGGTGGCTCGCGGCCATCTATGGTGAGATCTGGTGCCCTCTTCTGGCATGCAAGCATACATGGAAGGAATATTGTGTACATAATAAATAAATAAATAAATCTTAAAATAAAATAAAACTAGGAAGTGGTTTGGAAGTGGGTGCTTCCAAACCAGAAGGCCTGAATTCTATTCCCAGGATCTGCATGGTAGAAGGGGAAAATTGACTCTTGAAAGTTGTCCTCTGACCTCCACATATGTGCCGTGGTGTGTGTGCCTCCCACATATACACACACGTGTGTGTATGCACGTACACACAATAAATAAATGTAATAAAAAATTTTAAAACCAGAAGTAGTGGCTCATGTCCATAACCTCAGCACTCAGGAAAATGAGGGAGGAGGTAAGTTCAAGCCTGGGCTACACAGTAAGTTTCAGGCTACTCTGGGCTATGGTAATTATAGTAAAAGATCCTGTTTCAAGTCAAGTGGTGGTGGCACATGCCTTTAATCCCAACACCCAGGAGGTAGAGGAAGGCAGATCCCTGAGTTCGAGGCCAGCATAGTCTATGGAGTGAGTTCCAGGACAGCTAGAGCTCCATAGAGAAACTCTGTCTCAAAAAAACAAAACAAACAAGTAAAAGAAGATCCTGTTTCGAAAAACGCATAGTAGGTGGGGAAGATCAATCAAAGCTAGCCTCGGTTACACAGAAACCTTTAGGGGAGCCTGAGCTACCTTTGACCCTGTCTCAGCAACACAACAAGAGAGACAAATGTCCTGGTGTCCTGTAATCCCAGCACTGAAGTAAATGGAGTTGGAGGGGTGCCAGGAGTTAAAGGCCAGCCTAAGCTTCATAGCAAAATCCTGTCTCAAGACAGAAAACAACAAAACAAAACAACCAAAAATCAATAAATAAAAACTGAAATGATAAATTTCCCCCCTCACTGCCCCAAGCAGGGAATGGAAACCTTGTCCCCAGCAGCTGCATAAACATCCCAGGAGCTAGCTGCAAAGGTCATTCATCACCATGTTGATTTATTGGTATGTGCTTTTGATCAAAACACAACTCTTAGAATGACTTGCTGTTAGGCAAAGGGAGAATGTTAAAACATTCCCTAAGGTGCTTACTATGAAGCAAAGGCACAGTGAAACGGTGCAAATACATCGGGCCCCCATGCTGCTGGGGTGTGTTTCGGTGTCTACAGGAAACAAACTGCACTCCTGAGCCCATCTATCTCCTTGCAAGGAGATAGAATTGCCAAGGCTGGAGGGACCACACAGTGATTTCAGGGACTCCCTAGTCTAGCCGGTGCATAACAGTGCTGGATTTCTGGAGGCTTCCACATCCCCGGACCTGCCTTTTATTCCCACAGACCAAGGGCACTGGTGTTGTCATTTATTTTAAGAAGTCATGCCATGCAACAAAACTCACATAGGAGGTTCATTGGAAAGGAGAGAGAAGGGGCGGGCGGGGGGGGGGGGCAGAGACCAGTCCCTAGGGACAAGAGTGGCAGAAGAGAAGGAGAGAGAGAGGAAGAGAGGGAGAAAGAGACAGGAGGTGGGTAAGGTCTACCGTTTAAAAGGGAACATACCGAATGTGCATAGGAGGTGCTCTTAATGGCTGCAGCTGAGAACATAGCCTGCCAGGGCACTAAGGGCAGGCCAGTGCAGGTGCCTGGATACTAACATTCCTCCCTTTTGTTTATTATAAAAAGATGAAGAGTTAGAAATGGGTAGCAGGTGAGGTGGGGAATCCAAGATTCAGTATTGGAGAAAAATTAAGATATGTGGGAGGAGTTACAGGAGACACCTGGACCTCATTAGAATCAAGATGGTTCACACTGGAGAAAATACGTGCTGGTGTACAGAGTGTGGAAGGCTGCTCTTAGTTATCAGTTCTTAAAGAGCATCATACAGTCCATATGATGAAAGAGTCATACAGGTAGAGAAGCCATGTAGCCCCACCTGAGACAGACGCTGGAACTTTACCCGGTAAGCCACAGCCTTGTGGTGACACACAGATTAGTAGAAATGGGTTAAATTAAGAGGTAAGAGTTAACCAATAAGAAGCTAGATCTAATGGGCCAAGCAGTGATTTAATTAATACAGTTTTTGTGTAGTTATTTTGGGTCTGAGCTGCTGGGAACAAACAAGTGGCCTCCTACTATGGATTGTCACCAATGTGGCCAACTAAAATCCACTTAAAACCTGACAGAGTTTGGGAAGGAATTCGAGGCAAAAACAAAACAACAAACAAACAAACAAAACATAAAAACAAAAAACAGAGCTAAGCACAGCTTAATTCCATGGCTCCTTTAAGAGGGGTTTTTCTGATTCAACAGTAGCAGAAATAAAGTTACATGTTTTTTCTGGGCCACACTGCCTGTGCAAACTCTGGCTCTTTCAGGAGATTGAGCATTTAAATGGGGTTTGTGGGCAATGTGCTGCAAGTTACTTGGTGGCAATATGGGCCAACTGTTTATCAGAGTTGAGGTGATGAGAATGAGTCACACCCAGCAGTCTCAGAGGCAGTAAATGGACTTCCACCATGTTGGACTGAGCTTAGCAAGCAGGAAGGGCTGTGTTGGCCCTAGCCATGCCTGCTTAGCATTAAAAAAAAGCAGTTTTGGTCAGAAAAGGATTACAGATACACAATGAAGACAAATCCAGATGGAAAAGACCTCTAAATGTGTCACAGTGTTGGATAAATGTACGTAA